TTTGAAGAATTTTTATTTTTATTTAATATACATTCTAGATTTGGACTTTCTCATATAGACAGATAAATATATATGTAACTGTTTATGCCAAATTGACTATTTTGGCTGAACTTCATATGATAATTTATATTATTGATTTAGTGGTACTTGTAATTCTTGTGTGTCCCTGAAAAAAAAAAATTAAATCCCATATATTACCTAATTTTTTTTTCAAAGATTCAAATAAATATCATTAATCGTCAACTTACTAATTCTCTGATAATTTATTATATAGAAAAATAATGATAATCCTACTGCCATTTGGAAAAAATGAGCTCCATTAGCACGTTCAGGAAATACATATTTATGTTGCCAACGCCAAAATGCTGTAAAAGGAAGAACATTCATTGATAATTAGCATATTTTACTTTTAGTACATAAAATCTTACACAGAAAGTTATATAATAAGAATTAATATCAGGATTATCTAATAAAAGAAAAAAAGGTTTACTTCGAGAGCATGCTGATACTATAGCTTGAGGATGGAAATTTCTTCTACGAATCCAAGCTCCAAGTTCACTTATTTTAACTTCACCCAAAGGAGTATCAGCTGGAAAAATGTAATAAGATATATATATACGTGTGTGTGTGTGTGTGTGTGTGTGTGTGTGTGTGTGTGTGTATGTGAGAAATATATAATAAAATAGAATATATATGAAGGCTATGTTAGAGGTAATATAAAAAATGATATATACGTTTCCCATAGTAACGTGCTGGATCATAAGGACCATGTTTTGCTCGATCATATTCAGCGGGATAATCTCCAAAACCCATGATGAATCGTTGAAAGAATATTTCGATTGAAGATTCAATTTCTCCTAATGCAACTACTAAGTAACCAGCATACTACTTATTTTCATGGAATATATAATCTCTAGAAGTATAACTTCAGTCCAATAATTTTCGTTATCCTATTGGTGGATACTAATAGCCTATCAAAACGCTGCAGATTAAACAGTTCAAACATTTTATTTCTTTTTCGTTGTAAATATTAATATTAATTTATAATAATTTTTTAACCATCTAAAATTTAATACATAATTCGTAATTAGCATTAAATGATAAAATTAAATAATAAAATATAGTTAGAAATTAAATTAAGATAAAAAATGTTTTGAGAGTTCGTGATTTTATTATAAGAAGATTATAAGAGAATAGGGCATAAAAAGTAATAATAAATGTTCAGTTTAGGTAGATTTTATTATACTATATTTTAATTTATTCTTGTAAATTATTTAAAATGTCAGACCCTTTGGACCAAGGAATAATTGTTGCTTTTACTTTACAGGTCTCATTATTTTTATATTCATTTAATTTTTTTAAAAGCGGATAATTCATTCTAGGAAATGCTATATCATTCTCTGACAAACGTAATACCGGACAGAGATCATTCTTTCCATCTCCGACATATGCAATTCTCTTAAAATGAATTCCTGCCTCTAATCTTTCCTTAATGTAATTTTCTAATATATGACCTTTACATAAATTTACCATGCTTAGTTTACAAAAATCTTGAACATGATACATCTTTATCTTTATCATACCATCGTCGGAAATGTGCGCAGGATTTGTAAATACTTTAGTAATTAAATTATCCAATTTTCTACTCTTCAACCACATATCTATTAATAATGAATTGGAATCACTGATAATAATTATTTCATATCCAAGAGAATGTAATAATTTTAAAAGAACATCGAATCCTGGACTTGGTGATATATTGATAATAGATGCTTCTATTTCTTGTAATCCAATTGAATTCTGATGAAGTAACTCAAATATTTTGTTCATATATAAAGTCCATCCATCTGTACGATATAAATTTTGTACCTCATCAGTTAATTGATCTTTTGGTAATAAGTCACGAACCACAAAATCAGTATTATCATCAACAATTGTATGATCGAAATCAAATGCAATTAGTGCAGGCAAATCCATCTATAAAAAAGTTAACTCTTATTAACCCTTTTAAATCCTATTAATTTATATTGAATTAATTTATGTCTTAATAAACAATTGATACTGCGGTTATAATTATGTATACATCACTATAAAAATTTGTAGTGATTATCGGATGATGTAAAAAGAGTAATTCATATTTAAAATTATTATAATCGTTTTCTTTTATTTCTTCTCGAATGAAAAATGTTTCTATCATTACTTTTTTACTTTTCTTCATATAATTAACAAACGTATTTAATTGTCTATATGTATGTACCTTTTCAATTGATACGTTCAAATAAAATATTTTCTTTTAATAGTTTCCTTTATATATTTAATGTCTAGGAATGATTAAAGATAAAGAATGACAAATGTGACATTTAACCTCTACGCATCACAGATCAGAAGCAACTGGAAGAAAAGTACTTAAAGCGGTTTATTCATCCCTTCTTCTATAATGGTTTATGTGAAGAATGAGAACAAGCGCAATTCTTGACCGATTTTGATGAACAAGATCACATTTTAAAGACAATGGTTTAATCTAAAACTTTGCTTTTCTTAATTTTAGAAAAAGTTTTATTTGAAAGTTTTATTTGAAAAAAATTGTAATAAAAAATTGTACTTTTCGAGAATGGTTAATGCACAAAGGAAAAGCTTTTTTAAAAATTCGAAAAAGCAAAATTCTAGATTAAACCTTATTCTTTAAATTGAAATCTTGTTTATAAAAATTGGTCAAGAATTACGCCTATTCTCATTGTTGGCGTAAATGTTGTTTTCGATATTTTATACGAAAAAAAAGTTTTGTACTGTGGCGCCCCTTGATATTAGTGGCAAAAAAGAGAAGAAGATCACATGTGAGAAACTTATAATAATCTTGATTTAAAATTTAAATACTTATAAAATTTTTATCTCAGGATTGTTGGCCTTGTGAAATATAAATATAAAGGCGCTTTTTCTTAACATTATCGATTGCCAAGTTAGTTTTCATATTTCTCATATTTCTTCTTTTTCTCTTCTTCTTTTTCGGGGATCATCGAGGGATCATCGAACGATGTTCAATATGTCCACTTCAAATCGTTTCGAATTCTTTCGTGCGCGCACGTTTCACCTATCTTCTCTTTTTTTATTTTCTCCTCTTCTTCTTCTTCAGTTTGATTTGAGGAATAGATCTGCGGTCGGAATAATCCAATGTATCGTCGAATGGTTCGATTCATAATCGATTTTTACGCAACAATAACGTAATCTTTCGATCACTGCAAGATGTTTGCAGTACATATTTTGTCCGTATCTGTCGCTGATGTCGCATATGAAAGGTTTATTTAGTTTTTAGTTAACTGTGGTTATGGTCTTAATCGTAACATCGAAATTGGATGAAATTGTGAAACATTTTAAGAGTATTTTATAAATTAAATATGATATCTGGAAGATCTGCGGTCACAGGTATTTATTTATTTATATAGATATATTAATATTTCTTTCTAATATATCATTTCCTTTAATTTGTATTAAACTTATTGGTTATAACCTATAAATCTATATAGATGTTGAATATATGTGATTCTTTTTATTTATTTAAATAAATCAAATGTACATACGAATTCGTAAATTATTACAAAGTATTTATAATGTTTCAATAAAAATTTCTTTTATAGAAAATCCTTTGGGATTTTCTTGGCATGATAGTGCCTGGATCCCTGTACTTAACCCAAGTAATATAATGGATTATTTTTCTGAACGAAGTAATCCATTTTATGATAGGACATGTAATAACGAAATTGTAAAAATGCAACGTCTAAGTCCTGATCAATTAACGTAAGAATGTAATTTAAATTAGATTTCATTTATAGTATAATATATATATATATAAAAGGTTAATAAATTAATTGTATGAAAGAAATTATTAATAATTTTTTCAGGAATATGACAGGCTTGGAATATATTCTTCTACACGTTCAAGAACCTATTTTGTACGTAATTAGAAAACAGCATCGTCATTCTCCTACTTTGGCTGCACCACTTGCAGATTATTATATCATTGCAGGTGTTGTTTATCAAGCTCCAGATTTAGCATCAATCGTTAGTTCTAAATTGGTAGGCATTGGTAGGAAAAAAATAGAAAATATTTTTTCTATATAATATTCTTTTCTTTAATATATTGCGGTTGCTTCGATACAGCTTTCCACAGTTCATCATTTACAATCTGCATTTGAGGAAGCTAGTTCATGTTCCCGTTATCATCCTAGTAAAGGATATTATTGGGATTTTAAAAACGGAAAATCCATTACTGCTAAGAAAGAAACACCGGTACGTGAAGAACCAAGTTCCTTATTTCAGCGTCAAAGAGTAGATATGTTACTTGGAGAACTTACACGTAAATTTCCTTTACCTGTACCAAAACCAGCACATCAAGCAACAGAAACTAGTAAGGATTAATTAATCGAAGCATTATTCAGATAATGATCTGTAAAAAAACAATTTACGATTTTATAATTCCATATTATTTACCATTTTATAGCTACCGATATCAAACAAGAAGTGAAGGTTGAAAAAAAAGATATGAAACCACCACCAGAAAAGAAACCAAGAGTAAATTAAAGAGAATATTTTTTTGTAAATCTATAAAAGATATTTATACCATTATGTGATATGTAAAAATTACGTAAGTAGTTTTTTTTTTTTTTTTTTTTTTTTTTTTTTTTTTTTTTTTTTTTTTTTTTTTTTTTTTTTTTTTTTTTTTTTTTTTTTTTTTTTTTTTTTTTTTTTTTTTTTATAAATATGAATATATATAATGATAATTTATATTCATAAGTAAAAGAAAATAATTTTATAAGGAATAATTGTCATACAAATATGTATAAATGTATGACAGAATAAGAATAAAAAGAGATTTACATTTAATTGTATAAATAAATATTTAAATGTAGGGTAAAATCATTTAACGTATTTTTGTAATTGATATTAAAAATGTGCCATTATATAATTTTAATGGAACTATGTAAAAAAAGTTTTTGTTAATATTTTCAGTCTTTATTTAAATTGTCGCGTTTTGTCATGGTATTAAAAAAAAAAATGCGAGAAATAAATACTATACCTACATGAAGGGGCCCTTACGCAATGGCTCATTTTACATTTAATTTGATACGGCACTGTGTTAATATTATTTCGTCATTAGATAATTGCGCGCATGCGTAGGAATTAATTTATAATATAAAAAATGTATTTACGTTTTTGATAGATCTCACATAGAAATGTATTAGTCCAATATATTATTTTAAATTATTAGAAATAGTTTTTGATATAATAGAGCGAAGGATGTGCGACGATAACGTGTGCGATGATTGTTTAGAAACTGATTTTATCACGGATTTGCAACATAAAAAGTGTAAAGTGATACAACTGGTACGAAGACAAATGCATAAGTTCGAGGATACGCAAGTATGATTTGTTTTTTTTTGTATCTATACTAATGTATATACATCGATTAATTAACAAAAAATAAGGAAGGGTAAATATTTGAAATAATTTCAAAATTATATTCTCTCATAACCTTCGATGAAATTAATTTTGATATAAAAAAAAAAAAAAAAAAAAAAAAGAAAAAAAAAAAGAAAAGGAAAAAAAAGATATTCGATTGATGCTTTGAGCTAATACAAATATAAATGCTATAAGATAATTACATTTTTTCGTACTAATGATAAATAATATAATATCATTATATATAAGTAATATGTTAATATTACTTACGAATCAAGTGCCATATATTGTATATTCAACAGATTTTACCGATTGTAAATATCACGCAAGAAAAAATGATTCGGTATAGAATGGAAGATCAATCATTTAGCGAAGAATTCAATCGAACGGAAAAAATGCCAGTGTCCTTATGTCATATGATTTCCCAAACATTGATTTCATCTCAAACCTGGATGGAATACATTTGTTCTCGTTTATCTAGCAGATTTATTTTAGCAACATTGTTTATTGGTACCTTGTTGTTGCTTATAATCTGCAGCAGTTTTCTTAAAGCATTTCTTTGCGGCAACAATCGATTCTATTTAACATTATGTAGATATTTTTATACTAAACGTACAGTATTTTGAACGTATTGAATGTTTTTGCCAATTCAGAGTTAACATCGCAGCAGATCTTTAAAGACAAGACTAATTTATATTATCACATATGTGTTTTATAAAACATCCAAAAAATCTCAGATCTATTATCTTTTTCTTTGTATGTGTATATTTCTTTGTAATTTTTTATTATTTCTTTTTTTTTTTAATTTTTTTAAAATTCTTTTTTTAATTTTTTTTTCTTTTTTTTTTCTTTTTTTTTCTTTTTTTTTTTTTGTTCTTTTTTTGATACTTTTTAATCTGGATATAAAGATTATAGTATTCTAATGACAATACCAATCTTTTACATCTTTTTTATCCAATATTATTACGTCACTTTGTCTTCGTATTATAATAGGTATCATATCGTATAAATCGTATTATCACAATATGTACAAAAGATATTATTATTATCAATTTTAACAATGAAATAAGAGTCAAGAAGATTTTCGTTGTAACTTAAAGTTCGTTTTAAATATTCGTTGTGCATTCCAAATAATATAAAAAATTCAAATAATCATTGAATATTAAAATAATAAAAGACTTGCAAGACTTGACACAAAATATATTAGACTTGGAATAATACATCACGTGTAGCGTTTAGTTAAATTATGCGATTAGTCATTTTGATGTTCTTCATTAATTATTTCAATATCCACAAATCGCTTTGTAATTCATTTCATTAGAAGATATCTTTTTCGCGATTCGATGACATGTGATTCCTCGTCAATATGTTTGAATGATTCTTTAGGCTATGAAATTGGCCATCTTGATATGTTTGTCCCATCTATCTGAAAGAATTTACACACAACTTTCTGGACCAGGTATAGAATTTGCAATAATAATTTCTTTCATCAAGTTACGATCTGCTTTAAAACTGATCGGTTCCCAGGGTCTTGTGGAAAATGGGTTTAACTGTAATAAAAAAATTGAAAAGCTTTGACATGATCGACGATAATAATAAAATGAAGTATATAAAAATCTTTATAAAACAATTTAATATTAATTTTATAATAAAACAATATATCTAAAGTTTCAATTTTTGTTTAAGTATAAGTCAATCACAAGTTATACATAATTCAAACAAATATTCGTCTATTAATACTTACGTTACATCTGTTTGTTTGAAGGCCTTGTTTGTGAATATCGTATGGCGCAAACAATGTGTCTGGTCTTACTGGTAAAAATAATTGTGGTTCACGTTTCATTTTTTCTTGATCTATATAAAAAATTTGTCTTAATTATGAACAATACAAATAGAATATTATCTTTGACAAGAAAATGTCAATCTACAATGATTTTACCTTGTGGTGATTGTATAATATCAGGTTGTTTATTAAGTGCATAATCAGTAACCTGTTTCAAAGTGTATTCAACAAAATAGGTATGGTCCCCATGAGTAACATCAAGCATTGAGTTATTTCTTGAATCTGGGGGAGTTATAATCGGTTGTTTCATGTATGGCTCAATGTGTGCTGGTGATGTGCTACCTCGACGTCGGTATACCATCACCATTATAAAAAGTACTGCTATTAGACAAACCATTAAACATCCGATAAGTACTAAGATTAATGGAATCATACTAACTCCACTATCTAAAAAAGAATTCGTTACCCAAAAATGAATAAATTCATTTCTATGAAAGATTCGAATTATACAAATTTCATTATTTTGTTTTCTATATTAAATATACCTGTATGTTTTTCCGAATCTCTTAACATAATATCTTCTAATAAAAACACTTCACTTCGACCTTTAGCATTTACAGCATATGCAACTAAATAAAAGTGTGTCGCAGGTAATAGATCTGCTACTGCTATTCGAAATATTGGAAGGTCGATAGATACGCTAGACACATTGAGGCGTAAGTAACCAGATGGTACTTCGTAAGCCTCCAAACGAAATTCTTGAGGAAGTCCACCATTATATCCTGGTACACATTCGACTTCTAATATCTCTGAACTTTGATTTAACGATGCTTTTATAGTACAATTGTTTAAAGGACTTGGCTTCGCTATAACATAACGATCAACGATATTCATAAAAATCGATCTCTTAGAATATCACATTATCTGTATTACCTGCAGGAATGACATGATACGTGCATGGTGTTTCTTGTTTACCAATGGCATTCCTACCCCAACATGTTAAAGCTCCATAATCTCTTTCAGAAACTGGTGTATAAATCAATTCGCTCATGGTACCATTGTTGCTATCTAATTTTGCAGGGGCTACTTCAAAATTTTCACCGCTATTATTAAATTCCCAAACAAAATCCACTTCGTTAGGATCCGCATCTACTTCGCATCGAACCTTTACTGATTCTTCCAATGATGCTCCAATAACTGTAGGACTTGTTTTACAAACAGGTGCGACTGTAAAACCCAACCCCCCCAAAAAAAAATTATACATGTATATGAATTAAATGCAAAAGTTTTTAGATTGAAACTTTGATATTTGTTTACTCACATTGTATTCGTAAAGGAACAACAGGGCTTGTAGTTTCTCCACGATCATTACTGGCAAGGCACGTATAATTCCCTGCATTATCACGTCCTATACTTTGAAGTACTAGACTCTGTGTACTCATTATTATTCCAGCCGAATAATTTTGAGTTAATACTGCACCCTAATAAGAATATATAATCAAAATAAATATTCTCAAATACATTAATTGGCAAACAAAATTTAGATTTTTTTTTTTTCCAAATCATTTTAGCATTTATAAATATTCCACTATGTTTTTACATTATGTCTCCATGTTATTTTATGATGTTCTGGGTTGGCTCGAACTTTGCATTCAAAGTAAACGTCATCACCTTCTTTTATATTTTCTGCTTTCAATGTACTTCCCAGATGTAATTGAACTTTTGGTGGAACTGTAAATAATTGTTATTAATATTAATTATATAAAGGGAAATCCATATAATGAGGCTTGTTTAAATATACTTACAAACAACATTTAATTGGAAAAAATCTTCTAAATATGCACTAGGTAATTCAGGATTTTCACCTCGACATTTGAGAATTTGAGAATTGTCATCTGGTATGGGACTGAATATTAACGTACTTAACACTACCGAAGAGTTACCATCGTCCAATATCTATTCAATTTACATTTTAATAAATTAATAGATATTATTTATCATATTGAATAAATGTAATAAGGAATATTATATATAATAAAAAAAATAAAAATAAAAAAGAATTATTGACCTTGGCTTTCCGAAAGGGAATGTTTCCTTTCAACCATGTAACTCTTGCTCGAGGATGTGATCCTGCAGTTTCACAGCCTATAGAGTAATTCTTGTCTGTTTCTAGGACTGATAGTTTTGACAATATTTTTACAGACAGAGGTTTTACTGGAAAAAGAAAAGAAAAAAAATAAACATAATTATCGTTTATTATTTTCGTATGAATTATATTTATTGAGTTGTTCGAAAAATTTCAGTGTTGTTTCTTACATATGTATTAGTATATACATATATAATGATATTAGAAATTATTAGAATTAGTGTATTTATTAAAAAGGGGATATTTGTTTTTTTTAAAGTAGTCATTCATTTTAATTTTATGTCCCTTATCGAAGATAGAAAACAATCCGTCATGAATTTTTCGGTCAACTCAGTATTATTTGTGAATATTGAAAGACTTACAGTAAATATCTAAAAGGACGCTCTTTTCCAAAGGAGGTATCAGATTTGTGTTGGCAGCTCGACATTTGTACATGGTGTTACGATGTTCCCTTCGTAATTGAGGTACAGTCAATTTGCTAACCACAATATTTTGTCCTATTTCTTCTAATCTTCCGTCTACTTCCTTCTCGTTTACTAACCAGCTTACGATTGGAGTTGGTTTTCCTTTAAAAGAGGGATTATGGTCGATCTAGGGGTCCTTATAAAGATATATTGTTATCGTTTAATAATATAGAAAATAACAATGGAGTACCTCCTCTTACTTCACAGGAGAGACCAAATTCCATACCAACTTGGAAAGGACCAGCAGTTTTATCTACTTCCACTCCAGAACTGTCGTAAATAAGAAGTTGATGTGGTGGAACTGTAAAAAAAAAAAAAAAAAAAAAAAAAAAAGAAAGGAAAAAAATATTCTTCGTGATTTTCTTTACATAAAATATTATTTCATATCTTCTTTTTATAAATATTTTTTAAAATTGTGTCAGAAAAAAATATTTCAATGATCTTCTTCTTTGCACAAGAAAATATTACATATCTTTTGTTAATGAATATCTTCCAAAATAATATTAAAAAGAAAATATTAACACGAGTTTATTTCACATATCTTCTGTTTATATGAATTTTTTAATAT